AGTTAGCAACTGCTAACAATTCAGTGTATTTTCCCTCATTCCCTCAGGCTTAATTTTTTTTTTTTTTTTGTAGTGCTGGAGATGTAATCAGAGCCTCAAGCAATGTAAACAAGCACTACCACTGAGTTAAATGGTCAACCCTCATAGTTTGTTTTTATTGTAATTTATTCTTCTAATTTAAGTAAAATTATTTTTTTAAAAGACAAGGTCTTGCTATGTTTCCCAGCTATCCTGGACCTCCTGGTCTAAAGCAATTCTCTTGCCTTAAGCCTCCCTGACAAGCTGGAACCATAGGTTCCTGTCTTAAATGTTTAATTTTTAAATAAAAATTACACTATGTAACCTTTTTGTTGCTGTTGTTTGCAGTATTGGGGCTTGAACTCAGGGTCTTCACCTTGAGCCATTCTGCCAGCCCTTTTTTGATGGGTATTTTCAAGGCAGGGTCTCAAAACCGAGGTGGCTCTGGACTGCAATCCTCCTGATCTCTGCCTCCTGAGTAGCTAGGATTACAGGCATGAGCCATTGGTGCCCAACACTATATAACCTTTTATTCACTTAAAAAATGCATTCAATGGACAGACAAAGTGGCTCAAGTGGTAGAGTGCCTGCCTAGCAAGCAGAAGGCCCTGAGTTCAAGCTGTAGTACAACAAAAAAAATACATTTAAGTCAGTGCCGGTAGCTCACACCTGTAATCCTAGCTACTCAGGAGACCAAGATCAGGAGTATCATAGTTCAAAGCCAGCCTTGGGCAAATAATTTGAGAGACCCTATCTTGAAAAATCCCAATCACTAAAAAAGGGCTGGTAGAGCAAGTGGTAAGAGCAACTGCCTAGCAAGTGTGAGGACCTGAGTTCAAATCCCAGTGCCACAAAAAGAGTGCAAACATCTTCCAACACAAGTATAAATAGATCTATTTCATTCTTTTTAATGTTTACATTGTATTCAAATTTACTACTGTTGGACATTTGTTGATTTTAGTATAAGAACTGCAGCAGCAACAATGAAATCTGTAGCAAATATTTATTTGTGCAACAGCAAGATGCACTCACAGGTCTCAATTTCTAAGTCAAAAATATAAGCAAATTTAAATGTTAGTAAATATTATAAATTGCCTTCAAAGAGGAGGCATTGATCTATATTTCTACCAGCACACTCAACAAATAATAAGAATCCAATCTTTACTAATCACACTGTTTTTTTAACTGACTTTAATTACTAGGAGGAACAGCTTATGTGTTTATTAACCAGTGTTTTTCCTCTTCTAAGAGTTGCCAGTTGTGATGAAACCTTGTGTTTTTGAAACTGCACCCCTTAAGCTCTCATAAGCACCCAGGGAATGTCTAATGAATGAGTGAAGAGCAATGCTGTGAATAATAAATTATATAATGAATCTAACGTGCTAAACCCATCGTTAATGATCAATATAACGAATCTAAGTCTGGATACAGTAGTAAGCTCTATAACTCTCTGAAATTCTTCTCTTCAGAACGTGAGGTAGTTGTTGTGAACTCTAGGATTACAAAAGGCATAGCTTCTCCTCAGTGTGTTTTAGGGTGAATCACTTCTCTGATCTCAATCTGCAACTGTGTCTGAAGGCTGCCTTATATTTATAGAAAAGGGTTATTAGGTTAAAAAAAATAAGATTAATTTACAATAAATATAGATTTGTGTATTACTTGGATAACTAAAACAATTAAATTTAAAAAGTAACTGAACACATCAGAACAGAGGGGGTTTGAGGGTGTATATCAGTAGGGAGCATTTGCCTAGCACATGTATCTAAATACAGATTGGTTCCATCTCCAGCACCAAAAAATACAGGGGAAAAAAACTTACAGGGAAAGAACAATACTTAAAAAATTAAAGGGGGAGGGAGGGTGGAGGTAGCCCAAACAATGTACACATGAAAGTAAATGTAAAAACAAAAAATAAAAGGAGAAAAGAAAAAAATAAAAATTAAAGAAAACTTGCAGCCTTTTTAATAATCTTAAATTTCTTTTTAAAATATGTGACTTCAAGCCGGGTGCCGGTGGCTCATGCCTGTAATCCTAGCTACTCAGGAGGCAGAGATCAGGAGGATCTCTGTTCAAAGCCAGCCTGGGCAAATAGTTCACGAGACCCTACCTCAAAAAACGCTTCCCAAAATAGGGCTGGTGGAGTGGCTCAAGGTGAAGGCCATGAGTTCAAGCCCCAATACTGTTAAAAAAAAAAAAAAAAGTGACTTCATACTTGGCCCAGGCTCCCACCCTCCCTCCCTCCTTTCTTTCCTTCCCTTTTTTTTTTTTTTTTTTAACCAACTCTCTGTTGCCCTCTACTGCTCAGGTAATCTCATTTCAATGAAGTTCTACTCTACAAATACAATTAAGAGAAAAGTACTACTTGTGGCCAGTCTTTGGCTTTGGTTATCTATATCATCCTAACTGAGCCCTGCTTTATTTTGTTTTGTTTTATTGTATTTTAGTACTGGGGATTGAATTCAGGGCTTTGCACATGCTAGGCAAGTGCTCTACCACTGAGCTATATCTGCAGCCCACTGCTCTATTCTTGACTCTGTGACCAGCACAAGAGACAAAGAAATCACAGTATGTTGAGAGATACAGATTTTCATGCATTATAGGCATGATAAGAAATATTTCTGGAACAGGAATTACTCTAGCCAGGCACCGTGCTAAGCATATTGCATATACAAATTTGTAGCCAGACTGACAGTCATATAATGGATCCATATTTATAAAAGAGGAATCAGATCCCTAAACGTGCTTGGTTCAAGGTCACAATATGGGACTCAAATCCTGAACTAAGTAAATCTGTCTCCCTTCCAAAGTCAGTCCTTCCCTAATAGATTATGTCAAAATAAACTAAGTAGTGTGGAGCACTAAGTCGAGCTTCTCATCTATTTTGGGTGTGTTTGGTTGTTGCATCTGGGAAGACTTCATAGAGGAGAGGATTTCTGATTTGGTCCAGGCACCAAGAACATTTGTAAACAGTAACACAAACCTAGGACTTACTCAGAGAAGAGAAGGTTTGGTGTAGTGTAGGGGGAAGACAGATAGGAAAGAGGCTAGAATCAGATTTTACTAGGCCGTGAAGGTCAGGCTAACAAAGGAGGGCTCCAAACTAAAGGTCAGATGTTCCCACTCCAGGGCATGTGCTCCAAGTCCCTCTCCTCAATGTGATCAGTTGTATGAGAATACATGGGTAAAAGTGGCATATCACCTTGGAATGTCAGAGGCTTGGGGGAAAAGGCAATCTTTTGTTACCCTGTGAAAGATGTATCATGGAACTGATCGTAAAATCATACAAATTTTAAAAATAAAACTGAGATTTCAAAGCCATGTCCCAGCTACAATAGTTTACTAAGGAAATGACTGAATGTGGTCTACTCTCTGCTGCCATTAATGTAAGTTAGTAGTGAAACCAGTTGGTAAGCAAGCTACAGGTGATGGGAAGCCTGAGCTCCACTAAATTCTCCAGACTATAACTAAATGGCATTCAAAGAGGAACTGACTCTTGCCTGCAATCTTAGCTACTCAGGAGGCAAAGATCAGGAGGACTGCAGTTGGAAGGCAGCCCTGGTGGCTAGTTCTCGAGACCCTATCTTGAAAACACTCAACACAAAACAGGGCCAGTGGAGTGGCTCAAGCAGTAGCGTGCCTGCCTAGCAAGTGTGAGGCCCTGAGGTCAAACTCCGCTACCACCAAAAAAAAAAAAAAAAAAAGAAAGAAAGAAAAATATAGAGGAGCTGACTTCCTTCTCAGTTTTGTGAAGCCGATTCTAAGCAGAACAAAGCAAAAATCAGGTTGCGTTCCTCTCCCTGCATCTCCTTGGCATGTTCCTCTTAATTTTTTTTTTTTTTTTTTTGAGACACGGTCCCTCTTTGTTCAGGCTGACCTTGAACTCTCTATCTTCCCACCTTAGCCTCCACTCCCCAAGTGCTGGGATTACAGGTTTGCTCTACCATTCATTCATTCTTTGTGTATGTGTGTGTGTGCGTGTGGTACTGGTGTGCGTGTGTATGTGGTACTGGGGTTTTGAACCCAGGGCCTTGTACTTGCTAGGCAGGCACTCTACCACTTGAGCCACACCTCCAGTCCTTCATTCATTCTTTTATTCAAAAAATATTTATTGTACACCAACTCCCTCACTGTGTGCCTGTAGACAAGTTAACTTCTCTGCAGATTAGGGACAGTCATACCTAATGTCATAATGAGTGTCACAGTAAAAATTAAATGAAGTAATTAGTATACAGCTCTTACAAACAGTCTGAGACAAAGTTCAGCACTGTCTAAGCACTAGCTAACAGAACAATGTGGTCATGAAAACCTCTATTGCTACTGTGTCCAGCCATCACTACTCACTGCCATAGTTACATTCTAGGTCTTTCACGTTGGTGGTACTGATAGGTCTGGAAAAAAATACAGAGATAAAGCATTGCACTTGTATAGACAGACTTATAGGTTTGCCCATCTACAACTGGCACAAAGAAGGCACTCAAAATACTAGCTGAATTAATAAACAAATGTTTTCCCGTGAATTGCAGCCTCTTTGTTTCCAAGTGCTGGGAATCGAACCTAGGGCCTCGAGTATGATAGGTAAGAACCTTGTCACTGAGCTACACCTCCTACCCTGAACTGCAAGTTTTTTTAAAGACAGGGGCCATAGTTCCTAGCTATGATATTCTTAGACCCAAACAGCTGTTGAAGCACACAGTAGGTACTTAGGTATTACCGAACTAATGAAAGAATGGATGGTTTACTGGATAAATAACTGCAAGATGGAAGTCACCAAGGCGACAAGGCAGGCACCAACAAGGAATGCTGTTGGCAGAGGATACTGGAGCTGAAGAATTTCAATAGCGCGAGGGCTCACGGGAAGACCAGGCTCGCCGCGGGGTCTCCGGGAATCCCGCAGGGAGTGCTGACGTCAGCGCCCGTCCTCTTCCGCCCCGCCCACTCACGTGACTGCGGGCGGGGCGCCGGGGTAAAGTGGGTGGGGCGAGCGAGAGCCATGGCGGGTCTGGTGGACTTCCAGGACGAGGAGCAGGTGAAGTCCTTTCTGGAGAACATGGAGGTGGAGTGCCACTACCAGTGCTACCGCGAGAAGGACCCGGACGGTAAGCGCCGCCTGCGCAGCCTGGGGACACGTAGGCAGGGGTTGGGCGACCGAGCTCTAGGGGAACCTGGAAGGGGTCACGTGGAGGGCTGAGGGCGCGGTGGGACGACGTCTGGGACACTCACGACCTGTGTGGTGGGCGGGGCATTTATTCCTTGGGATCCGGAATACTCCGGGGCGGAGCCTGGAGGCGGTTGGGGGAGGAAGAGACGTTCCTGCTTTTGGGATAGAGGGACTGGGGACATCTCAGTGAACCAGCTTTCTTGCTAGGGGATAAGTCGGTCCACAAGCATAAGGAAATAAATGTAATGTCGTTAGAAAGTAGTAAGTGCAGCCGGGCGCCTGTGGCTCACTCCTGTAATCCTTGCTACTCAGGAGGCAGAGATCAGGAGGATTGCTGTTCGAAGCCAGCCAGGGCAAATAATTTGCGAGCTCCTGTCTGGAAAATACCTAACACAAAAAGAATTGGTGGAGTGGCTCAGGTAGAAGTCCTGAGTTCAAGCTTCGGTACCGCAAAAACAAAAAAGTACCAAGTGCCAGCCAGGTATGGTGGCGTGCAGGAGACTGAAGGAGGAGGATCACTTGAGCTCGGGAGTTCGAGACCAGCCTGAGCAACATAGTGAGACCCCCCCATCCCCTCTTAAAAAAAAAAAAAAGTAATAAAGCAGTGGGAAAAAGAACTGGGTGAAGGGTATCAGGAGTTCAGTAAGATGATTGTAAATTGATCGCGGACAAGGCAATCGCTGAGAAAATGGCATTTGAATAAAGTTTTGAAGAACCATGCAGATCTTTGCCAGGCAGAGGCAACAGTTGGTGAAAAAGGTCCTGAGGCAGGAATGTGCGGCTTGTGCGGTGTGGACGTTGAGTTGATTGAGTGGATGGATGGATGGATGGTGGTGTCCAGAGTTGGCAATCTGCATCAATGTATTTGGGTGGTTTTCTTACTACTTTATTTTATATCAGGGCTTCCCCACTTGAATAACAGGCACTTGAACCACACTTCTAGTCCATTTCCATTTTGTTCTGGTTATTTTGTATTTACTGTGGAGGTGGGGGTCTCCCAAACTACTTGCTTGGCTGTCCTCCAACCTCTATCTTCCCCTGATCTCAGCATCTCAACTAGCTAGGATTACAGGCTACTACATTTTTTTTTTTTAAAGGGGAAAAAAAATGGTCTTTCTAGTGGTTTGCAGTCTAGTTTCCAGAACATGACTTTGCTATTTGTTGAAACTAATCTAGTGTCTATGCAGTATGATGGATGAAAAAACCCAGGATTTTTTTTTTTTTTTGAGAGCTAATCTATGTCCTAATTACAGAAGAGTTTGAGAGGAATTGGGGTTACTGAGGGGCAGAGTAGCTAGGGGGATGGTCTGGAGGGGTAAGCAGTGTTGATTAAATGGAAGAGATGGTGGGAGAAGGGTTTTTGTGTTTTTGTTTTTTGTTTTTTTTGGAAGATTGAAGTCAGGATGCAGTCAGAATTAAAAGTGTTTGTTGTTTTGTTTTGTGGTACTGGAAGCTGAACTTATAGTCTCCTAGACAAGTCCTTTACCACTGAGCTATACCCTCACTCCCTTAAGCTTATAGACGGAGCGTGGGTCTCAGTATAATATATCAGGCCTTGAATGCCAGGGTAAGGAATTTAGACTTGATTCTATAGGCATGTTGTTTGAGATGAGAGTTCAAGATAGTGTATTTACTGTGGAGAACACACCGAGCAATGAGTGGGGAAGGACAAAATATAAGGTCTTGCTGCAGCAATTTAGAAGCCTGAGCAGAGGTTGTGGTTACTATAACTACTTGACTAGTAGTTTCTTTGAAAGGTTTAATCTCTCACATTCCCAACCTGGCCAAGGAGTAAGTCTTCGCCACACTTCTTTCTTGCTGCTATAAGATTAGCTCATGAGTCCTTTTGGTTTATAGTGTTTTTACTGCTGAATTTCATGAGAGATTCCAAAGCTAGCAAAATTTTAGTCATGGAAGTCAGTGGATCTTTGGGTCAGGCAGACAGGGAGCAGAAAGGTTGGGGAGTGATAGGGGCCAAGGTTTTCACAGTTCATACATTGCTCATTCCTGAATGGCTGAACACCATCTGTGTTCTTTGGGGTAAGGACAGTTTGCCATACATGAAGAAGACAGAGGCCAGTCCTAATTAAAGACTCAATCTGACCTGTTACATCTTGGCCCTACCGACTGCTAGCAGCAGCTACAAGTACAAACAGCTCTCGCCTTTGCCTCACAGGTTGCTATCGGCTGGTGGACTATTTGGAAGGGATCCAGAAGAATTTTGATGAGGCTGCCAAGGTTTTGAAGTTCAACTGTGAAGAGAACAAACACAGTGATAGCTGCTACAAACTGGGGGCCTACTATGTGACAGGAAAAGGTAAGGAGGGCCTGCCTGCTTTCTTTGTCCTTGCTGACATTAGTGCTGGCATCACACCTGAGCCTCATGTTGAGCTCTCTTCACGGAAAGACCCTTACATGCATTGAAGAAGCACGGTGTAGGAAAGTTGGAGGTGAGAGAGAGTTCAGCAGATCAGAGAGAACACAGCCTTTAGTTAAGCAAACCTTAGGGAATGCTATTTGCGAGTAGTGGGACCTTTTGAGCCACTCACTTTAACCCTGTCTCAGTTACATCACCTGTCAAGTGGGGGACATAGTTCTTGCTTTATGGGGCTATTGTGAAGATTAAATAGGATAATGGTAAAGGCATCAGCATATGCTTGGCATAGAGTAAAAGAACAGTAAATGCTGTGTACTGTGGCTCACATCTGTAATCCCAGCTACTTGGGAAGCAGAGATCAAGAGGATTGTGGTTTGAAGCCAGCCAGGGCAAAAAGTTCACAAGACCCCATCTCAACCAATAAAAAGCTGGGCATGGTCGTACACCTGTCATCCCACCTATGTGGGAAGCATAATTAGGAGGAGCTCAGTCCAGGCTGGTCCAGGCATAAACTCGAGCCCTTATTAGAAAAACAACTAAAGCAAAAAGGACAAGGGGCATGGTTCAAGTGGTATATAGACCCTGAGTTCAAACCTCAGTGCTGCCAAAAAAAATTCCCCTTCTTTTTATTGTTTCTCTTTATGTTCTAATTGTAGATTTTGCTGGAGTAGCATTTAAAAGTTACTGCTAAATAATATATTACCACACTAGTTTCTGTGGGTCAGAAATTTAGCAGTGGTTTAGCTGGATGCTTTAGGGTATTTCATGAGGTTGCAGTAAGGACACTGGTCAGGCTGGGTGACTGGCTCACACCTGTAATCCTAGCTACTTCAGAGGCAGAGATCAGGAGGATTGTGGTTTAGGTCAGCATGGGGCAAATAGTTCTCTTCTTGAAAATATCCAACACAAAAAGACGACTGGCAGAGTGGCTCAGTATGAAGCCCTGAGTTCAAACCCAACACCACAAAAAAAAAAAAAATTTTTAAACAAAAATACTGACCAGGGAGCCAGGGCTGCACTCATTTGAAGACTTAGCTGGAGGTGGAATTTCCAATTCTAAGATGACTCACTCAATGTGCCTCTTGGCAAAGGCCTCACTCTGTGCATTGCCAGCTCAGATCCTTGTGACATGGATCTCTCTGTGTCTCCAAGGGCTGCTTGAGTATCCTTATGACATGGCATCTAACTTCTCCCAGAGTAAGTAATTGAAGAGAGAGAGACTACATTTGGAAGCTACATGTTTTTCATTTCTATTACATTCTATTTATATAAAGTGATTGGGCTAGTGGAGTGGTTCAAGTGGTAGAGTGCCTGCCTAGCAAGCATGAGGCCCTGAGTTCAAACTCCAGTAATGCCAAAAAAAAAGGCGGTCACTAAATTTAGTCCACACTAAGGGGAAAGGACTTAACTTGCAATCCTTGTCAGATGTGGTTGTGCACACCTGTAATCCCACCACTTGAGAGGCTGAAGTAGGAGGATGGAGAGTTAGAGGCCAGCCTAGGCTACAGAGCAAGTTCTAGGCCAACCTAGGCTGCATAGCACATCCTTGTCTCAGTCTCAAAAAAATAAATAATAAAATCAATATTTTAAAATGCCAATTCTTGAAAGAAAGAATATCAAAGAATTTATGGGCATACTTTATTATTTGCATGGGTATGTGCCAGGCAAGTACTGTACTACTGAGGTTCATCTCCAGTCCCCAGTGAACATATTTTAAAACTACCACACAAGTAGAATATGACTTTGACAGGCAGGCTTTTTTTTTTTCATTCACTGTATCATGAGCTGCTGCTTTTTTTTTTTTTTCTTTTTTTGCAGTACTGGGGTTTGAACTCAGGGCCTCATGCTTGCTAAGCAGGTGCTCTACCACTTGAGCCACTCCCCTAGCCCTCATGATCTTCTCTAGGGTAATGATTTGTTCAGTCCTTGTTCCCAGAGATCAGCCAACCCTAGTTAGAAGATACTCGATGAAAGTTTGATGAAGAGGGTGTCTTCATTCTTTGGTGTTAAGTGGACTATTTTTGTTCTCAAGTGGAACACAGTGCCTGTAGATAATCTCTTTTATTTTTTAATTCTTAATTTTCCTCCCAGCTTTATTGAAGTATACAGTAATAGACAAATGCTGTACCTTTTTTTTGGCAATACTGGGGTTTGAACTCAGCCTCATACTTGCTAGGCAGGCACTCTACCAGCCCTTGTCACTCCACCAGCCCTTTTTTTTTTAACTGGGAATTTTTCAAGATAGGGTCTCTTGAACTGTTTGCCTGGGCTGGCTTTGATCCTCGATCTTTCTGCTTTGCCTCCTGAGTAGCTAGGATTACAGGCATGAGCCATTGGCACTAAGCTTCTAGGAATTTATTTCTTCTTGTTATCCAACTCGTTAGGATGTAATTGTTCATAGTATTCTCTTAGAGCCATGATTATTTTTCTTTTTTTGCAGTACTGGGGCTTGAACTCAGGGCCTACACATTGAGCCACTCCACCAGCTCTTTTTTGTGAATGGCTTTTTAGAGATAGGGTCTCACAGAACTGTTTGTCTGGGTTGGCTTCAAACCACGATCCTCCTGATCTCTGCCTCCTGAGTAGTTAAGTTCCCGGCACCTAGTTGACCCCTAGGTAGGCAGATATTTCTGTGCTATCAGCTGCAGTGTCTCCTCTTTCATTTGTAATTTTATTTTGAGTTGTCTTTTTCTTAGTTCATCTAAAGATTTATCAGTTTTTGAAACTAGATCTATGTTTATCACCCTATACTAATAGTAACTCAAAATGGATCAAGGATCTTAATATCAGACCCCAAACTCTAAAGTTGATACAGGAAAGAGTAGGAAATACCTTGAAATTAATAGGTATAAGCAAGAATTTTCTCAATGGAATCCCAGCAGCTCAGCAACTAAGAGATAGCATAGATAAATGGGACTTCGTACAATTAAAAAGCTTCTGCTCAACAAAAGAAAAGGTCTCTAAACTGAAGAGACCACCCACAGAGTGGGAGAAAATATTTGCCAGCTACACATCAGACAAAGGACTGATAACCAGAATATACAGGGAACTTAAGAAACTAAATTCTCCCAAAATCAATGAACCAATAAAGAAATGGGCAAGTGAACTAAACAGAACTTTCTCAAAAGAAGAAATTCAAATGGCCAAAAAACACTTGAAAAAATGCTCACCATCCCTAGCACTAAAGGAAATGCAAATTAAAACCATACTAAGATTCCACCTCACCCCGGTTAGAATAGCCATCATTAGCAACACCACTAACAACAGGTGTTGGCAAGGATGTGGGAAAAAAGGAACCCTCTTACACTGCTGGTGGGAATGTAAACTAGTACAAGCACTCTGGAAAAAAATCTGGAGGCTTCTTAAAAATCTAAACATAGATCTACCATATGATCCAGCAATACCAGTCTTGGGGATATACCCAAAAGAATGTGACACAGGTTACTCCAGAGGCACTTGCACACCCATGTTCATTGCAGCACTATTCACAATAGCCAAGTTATGGAAACAGCCAAGATGCCCCACTACTGACGAATGGATTAAGAAAATGTAGTATGTATACACAATGGAATTTTATGCAGCCATGAAGAAGAATGAAATGTTATCATTCGCAGGTGAATGGATGGAACTGGAGAACATCATTCTGAGTGAGGTTAGCCTGGCCCAAAAGACCAAAAATCGTATGTTCTCCCTCATGTGGACCTTAGATCAAGGGCAAACACAATAAGGATATTGGACTTTGATCACATGATAAAGCGAGAGCACACAAGGGAGGTATGAGGATAGGTAAGACACCTAAAAAACTAGATAACATTTTTTGCCCTCAACGCAGAGAAACTAAAACAGATACTTTAAAGCAACTGAGGCCAATAGGAGAAGGGGACCAGGAACTAGAGAAAAGGTTAGTTCGAGAAGAATTAAACTTAGAAGATAACACACATGTACAGGAAAGCAATGCAAGTCAATGCCCTGTATAGCTATCCTTATCTCAACTAGCAAAACCCCTTGGTCCTTCCTATTATTGCTTATACTCTCTCTTCAACAAAACTAGAGATAAGGGCAAAATAGTTTCTGCCTGGTAGTGAGGGGTTGGGGAGTAAGGAAGGGAGTGGGAGGGTATGGGAGGGGGCAGGGGAAAAGGGGGAGAAATAACCCAAACATTGTATCCACATATGAATATAATAAAAAAAAAAAAAAGACAAGAAAAAAATACTAAAAAACTAAAGATTTATCAGTTTTATTTATAGTACATGTAGTACAGAATACTTGATAATAAATGACTATGATCTAGTTTATGTACTTACTATACTTTTTATTGTTATTTTAGAGTGTACTCTTTATAAAAGGAAGTTTACAATAAAACAGTATGCTGTGTTGTACTGGCAATAGCCTTATACATCTCATATCCACTATGTCTCTTAATTGCATCAAGAGGCCCCATGGAGTATAGACCTATATGGGCTAGATTTGTATGAGCATACTCTATGGTGTTCACTTAATGAGAAAATTGCCTAACAGTGAATTTCTGAGAAGGCATACCCGTTCTTAAGCAACATATAACTACTTAATCCTGTCAATATCCGTAGGTTTCTTCATGTGTTTAATCCAGAATGGCTACAAAGATCCTGTTATCTTTGCTACTTGAGCCCTTTTGGATTGCTTAGTAGACTTTTGGCCTTGCTATGATAAAACCTATGCCATCATGCTAGGGATGAAGCTCAGTGGTAGAGTACTTGCCTAGCATGCACAAGGCCCTGGATTCAATCCCCAGCACCAAAGACAGAAGCAAAAATCCCACTAGTACTATGGATTCTCCCTCCCTAGTTTTGAGCCAAAGATTTTCTAGACTTTTGGTTTTACCTTCTGTTCCTGAGAATATATCCACTGTCCTTTCTCAACACATAGTGGCCTTTTACAAAGGCTAGCATGGGGATAGAGAC